CTGAACGCCTAACATGTGGACATTTTCGACCGTTTTTAAAAAAATGTTAAAAGATAAACCTTCGTTATCCCGTGAGGGCCGTAGGTCTGGGGGTACCTACAGCCCCCCGGCTATCCAACCCGACCAGTCTGCTCCGAATCCGATGTTGTATTAGGGAATAAAACGCCCCTGAAATGGGAAAAGAGGACCTTATTCCCGAAAAGTTGGCCCGAACGCCTAACATGTGGACATTTTCGACCGTTTTTAAAAAAATATTGAAAAATAAACCTTCGTTATCCATTAAAAAATAAACCTTCGTTATCCTGTGAGGGCCGTAAGTTTGTGGGTAACTACAGCCCCCCGGCTATCCATCCCGACCACTCTCGTTCAAATCCGATGTTGTATTTGGAAATAAAAGGCCTCTGAAAAGGGAAAATGTTAACTTATAATAAGGGAAATAATGACCTGATAATAATAAGGGCATATTTTCCCATTTCATGGGCGTTTTATTCCCAAATGCAACATCGGATTCGGACCAGACTGGTCGGGTTAGATAGCCGGGGAGCTGTAGTTATCCCCAGACCTACGGCCCTCACGGGATAACGAAGGTTTATTTTTTAACATTTTTTAAAACGGTCGAAAATGTCCACATGTTAAGCGTTCAGGCCAACTTTTCGGGAATAAGGTCCTATCTTCCCATTTCAGGGGCGTTTTATTCCCAAATACAACATCGGATTCGGACCAGAGTGGTTGGGTTGGATAGCCGGGGGGCTGTAGTTACCCACAACCTTACGGCCCTCACGGGATAACGAAGGTTTATTTTTTAACATTTTTTAAAACGGTCGAAAATGTCCACATGTTAAGCGTTCAGGCCAACTTTTCGGGAATAAGGTCCTATCTTCCCATTTCAGGGGCGTTTTATTCCCAAATACAACATCGGATTCGGACCAGAGTGGTTGGGTTGGATAGCCGGGGGGCTGTAGTTACCCCCAGACCTACAGGCCAACTTGTCAGAAATCAGGTCAACATGCCAGTTTTCAGAGGCCTTTTTAATTTCAAAATGCAACATCGGATCCGGACGAGGGTGGTCTGGGTCGAGAGCCAGGGTGCTTTATTCCTTTTTTTAGGATGTTCTAAAAATGGGCGAAAAGATCAACATGTTAGAATGCAGGTCATGTCAGAACGCAGGCCATCTTGTCACTTTTCAGAGGACATCAGATCCGAAAGAGGGTGGTCTGGTTGGATACCCTGACTGCTCTGGTGTCCTACGGGTCTGGTTTGATTAAGGGATAACTGAAATTCATTTTAAGAATCTTTTGAAATAAGGAGATGAGCTCAAAATGTCATATTTGAGAGGCATTTTAATTGGTAATGGAACATTCGATCTGAATGCCAGTACTGTGGTTGTATACCTGGCGTGCCTTAGTGTGTCGACAACCTGGCGTGGTTGCTCAATCACCCAGATTGATTGTTTTCATGATTATTTTTAATATCCAGTGAAACTGATGTAGAATTACCATTGACTTTATTTTCTATCTCCACTTGAGAACGCTTATTGGTGCTGTTCTGAGAGTTCTTGTTCTTCCTCTGTGAATCTTTACCCGACAGCCAAGAAAGCCAGAAGCTTTTTGAAATTAGAGA